GTGGACTCCCAGAGGCGGGCCCCTGCTGGACAGATGTGTGTTTCTCGAAAGGCCTGCCTGTCTGGGGGAGGGGCCCAGGAGGCAGGACATCCCCGCCAGCTCCCAGGGAGCTGACAGCAGATTTCGTACCGACCCCACACCCATACGAGCTGGACCTGTGAAGCTGGGAGCGGGAGTGTGGTAGCACGAGGTGGAAAAAGTGTCCCCACGAAGACGTGAAGAGGCGGGGTGCCGGTTCAGGGCCTGCCTGTCCCAGCCTTTAGCTGCCACTTGAGCTGCGTACTTTGGGTCGGCTGTGTGACCCCAGCCTCAGCTTCCTTGTGTGTAAATGGGGCTGATGCTAGAACCTTCCGCAGAGAGTTCCTGCAGGAATCCACACAGATGGGGCTTCTAGAGGATGCAGCCCCGGCACGTGTAGGGGGTCACCTGGTGTGAGCCGTGGCCTTGTCGTTATTGTTGACAGCAATAATAATAACAGCCGGCCCTTACCTAGCTCCCACTGTGTGTCAGATCCTGATTTTCGCGCGGTACGTGTGTCAGCTCATTTAATTCTCTTAGTAGCTGCATGGGGCGATGCTGATGTTATCCCCGTTTCGTAGATGAGGAAGCTGAGGCTCAGGGCTGGTGAAGGGACTTGTCCAAGACCACGCAGTTGGCAAGTGGATCAGAGCCCAGGCTGGCTGGCCGTGTAGCCTTGCTCTTGGCCGCTCCGCTGTCCCGTGTTCCAGTGTTGCGGCATCTTTAGGACTGTTCTGTGGCAGGTTTCTTCTGGGTGTATCGTAGATGTGCTGCCTTTTGGAAACTGAGTTGTGTTAAAAGGCCCCAGGGCCGCTCAGGGCTTAAGAGCAGAGCCTGGGGGAGGGTCTGTTAGGGAGCAAAGGAACTCTCACACCAGGTGTATGACGGAGAGCTGGTGGCTCAGGGTGCACCTGGTCGCCTGGGCTCCCCGTGGCTTTGGCAGGTACGGAAGGGGCTCCTCCCTGGTCTCTTCTCCAGGGGCTACAGGAAGCCCCCTCCCCAGGTGCCTGTGTTCCTGAGACAGTGAAGATGTGGTTGAAGATGGAATCCACTCTGGCTCATACAACACACACAGGCTTCTAGAGGCCCTATACGGGTCCCAGATCTGAGACCCAGGCCCAGTCGTGTGATGCGGCCGTTTCCAGTGGCCCAGTTGCTCCAGCCCTGCCCTTCCTGTGTTTGGCATCATTCCTTTATCTAGATGGGCAGTTGCTGCTGATCCCGACAGAGCCTCATAAATGCACACAAACTCCTATTCATCCTTCAAAACCCAGCTGTGTATCCCTCCTGTTACCTTTCTGGAGAGACTGACTCTGACCCGCTTAATGCCTCCCCCATATACCACACGTACTTTTCCTGCCTGAGCATATTAATCTGCCATCACTGCTCATGACCAACTGCCCACTAGACTGGGTTCATTGTAGGCAGAGGCCGATATCATTCATTTTGTTTCATGCCCTGGTGCTTAATACCGAGTGAGTGCTCAAATGTTTGGGAAGCTACCCTATTCCCTCCTCACCCTATACCTAGTCCTTCACTTGGTCCAGCTAGGGAATTCTTCCATCTTTGACACCCCATGGCTGACACTTTCTGGCTTTGAGCTGTGGCCAGGGCTGGGGTGGTCAGGCTGGAACCTCCCCCACACCGCACCCCCGCCTCCCCCAATAGAAGACGCTGGACCCATGCCTATGGAGGCCCTGGATGGGACCAGCCCATATCTTTCTCCCCTCTTGGAGCTTGGAGATCAGAAAAAGGACTTTTCCTTACATCATCTTTCTGTGCCTCAGTTTCATCAGCTGTAAAATGGGGATACTCCTTAAATCTGCCTGACTTTGTGTTATGTGTGATTCAAGTATTAATAATGCGTGCCGTGTGCTCAGGGCTTGGCTCATAGTAGGTTCTCAATAAAACGGCAATCATTACAATAATAATTTGCCCCCTGATTTTCCGGCCCCCAGCCACACTCTGAGGCTGCTGCTCTCAGGGTTTTGGCTTTGCACAAAGGGGGCCGAGATCATGGCTTGTTCTTGGGTGGGCTGGGCCCAGGGCTCTAGGCGGAGCTAGTTCTGGGTGCCAGCTTGAGCCCACCTACATACCTACCCTCTGTCATGGGGGCTGGGGGGAGAGGGTGAGGCTGGCCTGTTGCCAGCACCCCTCCTCCCTGCTACAGCACCCGAAGCCTGGGCCTCGAATTCTGTTGTGAGCAGGGCTCTGGGTCACCCGCGTTTAGTGGGTCTGGATTTGGGGATCATTGAGAGACAGTTTCGACCTGTTGTTGGTGTCTTGCTTGGCTTGTCCTGCCAGCCCATGCTGAGTCCCGGATGGTCTTCCTGAGTTTGGCTGGATCAGGAGCACCCAGCCTTTCCTGGGTCGCAGGAGGGGCTCAGGTCTCCCACGTGTGCGCCGTGGGCACCCCGCTTTCCATCTGACAGAGACCCGCCCTGAAGTCATCACCTTCCACAGCCCTCTGCCCACCCCGTCCCCAGGCTGGCCCGGCCAAGCGGGCCCTGTGGTCCCTGCCTGGGGGCCTGGACCAGACACAATGTCCGCCTTCACGGCCAGGGGCCCCAGGGGTCCGGCCTGTTGAATTCGCAGCCGCTAAGCCCTTTCTGCCATATGTTCCTGTTTTCCTAATAAGTCCGGGTTGTGAGTGGGGAGGCGGGGAGGCCCCAGGGCAGCGCAGAAGTAGTCACGTGATTGTGAAATACAAGAATCCTAGAAAGGGTATCTCTCGCAGCGCCTGTATCTCGTCCTCCCTCCCCCTCCCCCTGCCCCCTGACTGTGGAGGTAATTGTGGACACCCAGCCGGCTTCCAAGGCGCAGGAAGGCATCTCGGGCCTGGCAGGAGCTGTGCCCGCCCCGGGCCCTGGGGGGCGTCAGGCTGGGGGCTTCAGGGGCCCGGCGCCAGAGAACAGGGTGCGTTTGTTCGAACCGAAACTTGGCGGGCTTGCCAGGGCCACTGCGGGGATGCTGAGGCCCTCTGTGTTTGTCTCCAGCCCCGGGAGGGCTTGTAGGGGGCCCCTTCCCCAGCCCCGTCTCCGCCCCTGGGCCTGGATGGGCATGCTGGGCTGGGCTGCTGCCTGCTGTTGTGTGTGTGTGTGTGTGTGGTGTGTGTGGTGTGTGGTGTGTGTGCGGTGTGTGTGTGGTGTGTGTGCTGTGTGTGGTGTGTGTGTGGTGTGTGCTGTGTGTGGTGTGTGTGTGTGGTGTGTGTGGTGTGTGGTGTGTGTGCGGTGTGTGTGTGGTGTGTGTGCTGTGTGTGGTGTGTGTGTGGTGTGTGCTGTGTGTGGTGTGTGTGTGTGGTGTGTGTGGTGTGTGGTGTGTGTGCGGTGTGTGTGTGGTGTGTGTGCTGTGTGTGGTGTGTGTGTGGTGTGTGCTGTGTGTGGTGTGTGTGTGTGGTGTGTGTGGTGTGTGGTGTGTGTGCGGTGTGTGTGTGGTGTGTGTGCTGTGTGTGGTGTGTGTGTGGTGTGTGCTGTGTGTGGTGTGTGTGTGTGGTGTGTGTGGTGTGTGGTGTGTGTGCGGTGTGTGTGTGGTGTGTGTGCTGTGTGTGGTGTGTGTGTGGTGTGTGCTGTGTGTGGTGTGTGTGTGTGGTGTGTGTGGTGTGTGGTGTGTGTGCGGTGTGTGTGTGGTGTGTGTGCTGTGTGTGGTGTGTGTGTGGTGTGTGCTGTGTGTGGTGTGTGTGTGTGGTGTGTGTGGTGTGTGGTGTGTGTGCGGTGTGTGTGTGGTGTGTGTGCTGTGTGTGGTGTGTGTGTGGTGTGTGCTGTGTGTGGTGTGTGTGTGTGGTGTGTGTGGTGTGTGGTGTGTGTGCGGTGTGTGTGTGGTGTGTGTGCTGTGTGTGGTGTGTGTGTGGTGTGTGCTGTGTGTGGTGTGTGTGTGTGGTGTGTGTGGTGTGTGGTGTGTGTGCGGTGTGTGTGTGGTGTGTGTGCTGTGTGTGGTGTGTGTGTGGTGTGTGCTGTGTGTGGTGTGTGTGTGTGGTGTGTGTGGTGTGTGGTGTGTGTGCGGTGTGTGTGTGGTGTGTGTGCTGTGTGTGGTGTGTGTGTGGTGTGTGCTGTGTGTGGTGTGTGTGTGTGGTGTGTGTGGTGTGTGGTGTGTGTGCGGTGTGTGTGTGGTGTGTGTGCTGTGTGTGGTGTGTGTGTGGTGTGTGCTGTGTGTGGTGTGTGTGTGTGGTGTGTGTGGTGTGTGGTGTGTGTGCGGTGTGTGTGTGGTGTGTGTGCTGTGTGTGGTGTGTGTGTGGTGTGTGCTGTGTGTGGTGTGTGTGTGTGGTGTGTGTGGTGTGTGGTGTGTGTGCGGTGTGTGTGTGGTGTGTGTGCTGTGTGTGGTGTGTGTGTGGTGTGTGCTGTGTGTGGTGTGTGTGTGTGGTGTGTGTGGTGTGTGGTGTGTGTGCGGTGTGTGTGTGGTGTGTGTGCTGTGTGTGGTGTGTGTGTGGTGTGTGCTGTGTGTGGTGTGTGTGTGTGGTGTGTGTGGTGTGTGGTGTGTGTGCGGTGTGTGTGTGGTGTGTGTGCTGTGTGTGGTGTGTGTGTGGTGTGTGCTGTGTGTGGTGTGTGTGTGTGGTGTGTGTGGTGTGTGGTGTGTGTGCGGTGTGTGTGTGGTGTGTGTGCTGTGTGTGGTGTGTGTGTGGTGTGTGCTGTGTGTGGTGTGTGTGTGTGGTGTGTGTGGTGTGTGGTGTGTGTGCGGTGTGTGTGTGGTGTGTGTGCTGTGTGTGGTGTGTGTGTGGTGTGTGCTGTGTGTGGTGTGTGTGTGTGGTGTGTGTGGTGTGTGGTGTGTGTGCGGTGTGTGTGTGGTGTGTGTGCTGTGTGTGGTGTGTGTGTGGTGTGTGCTGTGTGTGGTGTGTGTGTGTGGTGTGTGTGGTGTGTGGTGTGTGTGCGGTGTGTGTGTGTGGTGTGTGTGCGGTGTGTGTGCGGTGTGTGTGTGTGTGTGTGTGTGGTGTGTGTGGTGTGTTTGCTGGTGTTTTTTTTTAATTCCTCCTCTTCTCCGTCACCCTGCAGAAGAAGGCCGAGGCTGCACATCGGATTCTGGAAGGCCTGGGGCCCCAGGTGGAGCTGGTGAGCTGGGGAACAGGGCGGGGCGCTCTGGGAGGGGGTGGGCAGGGTGGCAGGTGGGGGTGAAGGGAAGGAGAAGTCGTCTGTTGCCAAGCCCTGCCCTGTCCTCGGAAGGGGGCAGGAGATCCACCCTTAGGATGAGAGGGGCGGGCAGGTAGCAACAGGCAGGCCGCACTGGGGGTGAGAAGGGGTGCGTCGGCGCTCCAGCTACGCTCCCAAGCCCAGCCAGTCGGGCTGCAAGATTCACCAGCTGGAGTCCAACCCATTTGGCCTATAGTTTATCGTGGAAAGCCCATACTCTGGGCCCGGTCCTCTGAGTTCAGCTCTCAGGTCTGCTACTTAATAGCAGGTGTCTTAACCTCTCTGTGCCTCAGTTTCCTCATCTGTAAACTGGGACTAATAATAAAACACATCCCACTGGGCTGTAGTGAAGATTAACCATACTAAGTTTTGGAAAGCCTGATGGAGAGTAAGTGCTGAGCGTTAGTTCTTGCTGTTGTTTTTATTATTACTGTTGTCAGTATCATTTGACTGATGGGAAGATGCCATGTCAGCAGCAGAGCTGGGAAGCAGACTCAGGCCTTTTCTCTCTCAGGCACCCGTCACCCTATGTGTCACCAGAGATAGGAGACAAGGGAGCACCGAAACTCCCGGCTGGTGGCCTTGGAGTCCTGGGAGAAATGGCCAGAGTACCCAACTGCCTGGGACCGTCACTGTCCCAGTGAGCGGGTGGGTGCAGAGCCACGGGGGGCAGCACGTGAGGACACGCACATAGGATGGATGCGAGGGATCCCCGTGCGTGTGTGCGTGTGCAGGCTGTGGGGTGGAAAATAATCTGACGCATTTGGAGCCTAATTTTAAACTTGGCTTCACCGTGTGTTCGCCGAGTGGCCTTGGGAAAGGGACTCAGTTTTCTCATCTGTGAAATGGGGAAGCCGAGGATCCTGATGAGGGAGCGATGAATTGGTGTGGGGAAAAGGCTCACTGACGCAGCTCTTGGCCTGTGGTGAGCAGTCAGTGTCGTGGACCCTTAGGAGGGAAGAGCTCTTTGCTCCGGAGTTTCTTCTGCAGTGACAGCTGCTCCTCAACCTGGGGTCCGTGTGTTTAGGCCACTGAGAAACTGTGAGCAGCTGGCCTCTTACTGCTCCCAGGTCCTCTCAGGGGGCAGAGCCAGACAGGGAGTGGGGGGCTCCTACGGCTCAAGGGCGGGGCCCAGGGCCTCTCCTGGGGTGGGTGACAGGCTCCCAGCCTGCGGCCTTGCTTCCCTTTGGGCATGCTTTCTGGGGTGTCTCTAGCAGCCTCTTTTTTAAAAAATTTAAGTAGCTTTATTGAGATGTAATCCACACCCATTTAAAGAGCACAAGTTAGTGGGTTTTCGCATATTCACAGATGTGCACAGCCATCTCCATAATCGATTTGAGAACATTTCACCATCTCAAAAAGAACTTTGTTCCCTGAACTATCACCTCCTTATCTCCCATCCCCCCACCCCACCCCCCCTTTCTCTCCCCCTCCCTCCCAACCAACCACTAATCTGCTTTCTGTCTCTATGGGTTTGCCTATTCTGGACATTTCGTATCAGTGGAATCATACAATACGTGGCCTTTTGTGTCTGGTTTCTCTCACTCAGCATCCTGTTCTTATGGTTCATCCATGAGGTAGCCTGTGTTGGTGTTTCATTCCTTTTTATGGCTGAATCGTATTCCATTGTACGGATGGACCACGTTTAGTTTATCCATTTATTCATTGGTGGGCATTATGCTGGTTTAGCTTTCGGACATTATAAAGGAAGTGGCTGTGAACATTAATGTACAGGTTTCCACGTGGATGTGTGTTTCCCTTTCTCTTGGGTAGATACCTTGGCCTGGACCTGCTGGATCGTGTTAATTCTGTGTTTACTCTCTTGAGGAATTAATTGCCAGACGGTTTTCCAGAGTCGCTCCACTGTTTTCCATTCCCACCAGTAAGCTGCTGTTCACCTCGGTTTCCCTTTCTTGCCAATGGGGCTGGCAGGACTGGAGGCGTCGCCCAACCATTTCCAGACCTGGAGGCTCTCCCTCTCCCCTTTCCTGACCTAATTAGTCCTGGAGGCTCCTGAGTAGGGGGCTGGAGTGTGAAGGGAGCCGCTGAGAACAGCAGGGCGTCTTCCGGGCTCACAATTTCAGTGATTCTTTCCTGGGTCTTTGGGGGCGACGAGGCTGTCGTCTGCTTGGTGGTCTCACGGTAGAGGCTCCCTCAAGGCTGGTGGCGCAGGAGGCCGAGGTCTGGGGGGGCAGCGTGGCTGTCACCGGAGTGCTCTAGAAGGCAGTGGCTCTTGCCTCGGTGGCCTTCTGTGGGGCCAGAGAGGGGCCTCACATTGCCGGGGCACCTGCTGTGTGTCAGGCCTTGTGGAAGCGTCACCATCCATTTTCTAGGTGAGCCTCAGAGAGGGCAGGGCCTTGCCCAGGGTCACACAGCACGAGACGAAGCGGGGAGGTGTGCTGAGCCCATGGGGTTGTGGCTGACCACTTCTGCACTGGTCTGCCCTCTGTCTTGGTTACCACAAGGCCCGGGTGACCAGAGGCGTCCTCCAAGCAGAGGCAGCTCTGAGGCGCACCCTCAGCAGGGCCTGCTTTGGGCCACCCAGGAGTCCGATCTCAGGCCAGGAGGAAGGGCCCGGGGCTGCTGACCCCGGGTCTCGGGTCACTGGGCTGCACCCCGGCGAATCCAGTTCCCTGGAGGTGTCTCCCATCTGCAGCCCAGGGAACAGTCAGCCGAGGAAGACAGTGTTGAGTGCTCTGTGACCTCCCTGGTGGGGAGGCCTGGGCCCGGGAGAAGCCCACGTGGGAGAGGAAGATGATGAACAGCGCGGACGGCTCCAGGCAGGGCTCTGCGCCCTGGGGACCAGGCCTGGCCCCAAGCGGGCAGCGGGGGGAGGGTGTCGGCAGCCCCATCCCCCCGCCTCCTCGCCCTGCCGCTTTGAGTACTGGTTTCCTTCCTGTTCAGAGGTGTTATTTTAAGAAGCCGTGTCACCAGAGGGCTGAGGGCCAGCGCACACACTCCGTTTCTAGCAGCTCGTCCGCCTGGTTCTTCTCGGCCACCCGCCGGCCGCCTGCCATCAGGTCTGGAGGGGACCCTCCTTCCTTCTCCCCAAGACCCAGCTTCTCTCTCTTAGTCATTTCTGTCTGGGGCCCTGCAGTCTGGCACATTCTCCCCTTTGCGCTCCTTCTGCCTCCGATTATTTGGCTGCACCCCCATTTCTAGAGGAGGAAATGGAGGCATGGAGGGGGCGGGCCTTCCTGCAGGTACCCTAGGCCCCCCAGCCTCGCTCCTCTGGGGTCCGCGGCAGGGACTTTCCCTCTTAGGTCTCGCGTCCCCCTGGCGGCGGCTGGAAACCTGGGAGGTAGCAGAGAAAGCTGCTGTGGGTGTGAATCCCAAGGTGGCCGCATGGCCGCTGACTGGGGACATGCCTCCTGGGACGGAAGGAGGCCTTGCCTGGCCCTGTGTGTTCCCCCGCCTGCAGGTGGCGAGGAGGGGCGTTGGGGGGACGCCCTCTGGCCCCGCCCTCCCTTCAGCAGTGCACCAGCCAAGGAGGTGTCATGATCCTTCCTCACCCCTGACCCACGCACGCGTCTTCCGTCTTGCGAGGCGGCAGCCTGTCACCATGGCAACAAACAGCCAGCGGAGGCTGCCCTGGGCCCAGAGGCTTCCCTTCCAGCCCAGGTCTCAGTGTACCTCGAAGAATGTCCAGCGAGTGCCTCCTTGGGGGACAGCCCCTGTGGTCAGAGGCAGCGCACCCCACAGTGTTCTCTGACTTATCCCTGGCCTTTTGCCGAAGGCCACCTGGAGGGGTACAGTGCTGTGTCCTCCTCTTACCCAGCGGGGCTGGAGGGTGAAAGTGATTCCTTCCCCTGCGAGTTTGGCGGGCCAGAGGCGGGCTGGGACCCCGCTGCCCCCGCAGAAGCCAGTCTCCCCTTTTCTGGCCCATCCCATTTTGTAGAAACGGGCCGCCCCCCCGCCCCCCGCCCATCACTGGCACCCGGGGTCTCTCTATGTGGTCCTTCAGCCCCTCCTGGCCTCCTTAGACCGTGGATACTTTGCCATCTTTAAAAGCAAAAAAAAGCAGTTGAGTCACCAAGTCTGACATTTCCTGGGCTACTCGAAAGCCCCGTGAGGTAGATCCTATTTGCTCTACACCCATTTTCCATATGAGAAAACTGAGTCCTGGAGTGTTGAAGGCATGTGTCCAAGGTCACACAGCTAGTGAAATTGGGGCGCATCTGTTCCTGGAAACCGAACCTTTAAGCCATACTCATTCCCATCCGGCCTGTGTTTTATTGGCTTGTGAGGAACGTAAGGGACCGGGCGCAGAGTCACCTGGGGTTAAACACGGGCATTTGATGCCCTGGAATTCAGCACAGGCATCTTTGTAGGGCTCCTTGCTGTCCTGAGATGTGGGCTGTCCACCATGTGCAGTAACGTCTTGCCCCTCTCTGGTTGGGAAGTTTTGCAGTGAGTCTGACAGTGGTCTCTCCTGTTGCCTTCCTGTTCAGACACCCAGAGTGGGGGTGGGGAAACCTCCCCATTTTGAGCCAAGCACCTTGGAAGGGCAGCTGACCCAGTGTGGCGGGACATGGCCTGTGCTAGCCATGAGGCGACATCTCCATCCCAGGTGGAGCAGCTGGACTTGGGGCCTGCAATTGCCTGAGTAATGGTGAATTGTCATGGAGGGGACCTGGGGGACACTGGGAGAGAGGTGCCATTTTCCTCAGCCAAGGCTGCCTGTGATTCCCAGGGCAGCAGAGGCCCCTCCTTGAGGACCCCGCCCTGTCCACAGAGAGCAGGAGGCCTGTCCCTGGGGACACGGCAGGTTGGACCCGTGGCCATGCTGCTTGTGGGTGGTCCCCATCAGCTGGGATGATGTCAGGAGGTGTATTCAGGTCCATGCTCAGGGAGAAGTTCAAGGGTGGGGCCTGATGTGCCCTCTTCCCTCACCCCGGGGCCCTGCCCTGAGGCTTCAGGACACCACGTCTCCATCTTCACCTGCCCAGCCTGACCCATCACACTCTGTACCTGGTTTTTGTACCACAGTCATCCATGGCTGTCTGGGAGGCTCCTGCTACCTGTGTGGGTGTGTGAGACAGAGAGAGGGAAGGAGGGGAGAGGGAAGGGAAGAGAGGTCAACACAAAATGAGACACACAGAGACATAAAGAGGGGGACATGCAGAGAAGGGAGCAAGCAGAGAAAGGGCAAACCCCTTCCTCCAGGGCTGGAGCTGAGAGGCGGGATGCCTCATCTCTTACCAGCCAGAGGCAAATGTTTTAACTTCTCAGGGACTAGATTTTCTCACCTGTAAAATGGGGATGGTAATTGTATCAGTCAGCGACTGCTGTGTAACAAATCAGCCCCAAATATAGTGGTTTGAAACAACAACCTTTTGCTGTTTTCCGCGAGTGTAGAAGTCAGCTGAGTAATTTCTCTCGACTGGGCTCAGCTCACTCACATCCGTGGGCAGCTGGGAGGTCAGCTGGCGGCTCACAGTTTTGCTGGGATGGTGCTACTGTCCTCCAGGCAGCTCTCTGCCAGGCTACACTTGGTCTCTTGACGGGGGTTGGGGGGGGCAGGCGAACAAGAGAGGAAAAAAGAGCAGAAACGCCTCGTCTGCTTTCATGAAGTTTACATCTGTCCCATTGGCCAAAGCAAGGGCGTGGGTGGGTACAGGGGGAGGGGCAGGAAAAATTGCTTCCATGAATGCAGTCACTGCACCCTGATGGTGATAATGACCCTGAGAGTTCTTGGACCTCTCAGTCTGCCAGGCGCTGGGCTTTGCACACATTACCTCCTTTGATCTTCACAGCAAGTCTCTGAGTTTAACCCCATTTACAGATGAAAACCTGGGGCACAGATGGCTTAAGTAGCTCACCCAGAGACACACAGCTGGAAATTGGCAGAGCCGGGATGCGAACCCGGGGGTTAGCCCCTAACTGCAACACTGCCGTCCAGCCGGGAGATAACACGACATCGAGCTCAGCTCCTGCCCCATCGCAGACACTGCAGCAACTTCCTCCTTTTCATTTGCAGATTTGTTGCTGTATGTGCGCCCAGTTCATTCATTTCTCACTGCTGTGTAGTCTTCGAGGTGTAAACGCGTCCTAACTTATTTCTTCCTCTTTCTGGAGGTGGACACTTAACTTGCTTCTAATGCGTTGCTGTTACGAACAACGCGGTCCGGGCATTCTGGCGTCCATCTCCTTGGCGGGACACAGTGCCCGACCGCTTCCAGGGCTTCCACGGTAGGGGAAGGGGGTCGTAGGGCACACGCACCTTCATCCTTTCACGTCTCCGGGACACATGTACCTGCGTACGTTTCTATCGGCCATGTGCACGCCTTCCAGTCTCCTCACGTCTTCACCAACCCCTGGCACTATTTGGCTGTTTTATCTTCTGCCGGTCAGTGGTGGTGACGGGGCATCTCACGGTGGTTTGGCAGTCTTCCCCGTTCAAGACCATTGCTGATCTCAGCTTCCCTGGGATGTGTGTGCTTGTCCCCGGGCGCTCAGGCCAGCCCTGCCCCGTGCCCTGCAGAGCAGCCACGGCAGCCACTGCGGTGAGGGCTCATGGTACCCACAGCTGTGCCCAGAGCGTTACAGCCTGTTCCTCGCCGGGGCTGAGGGCTGGGTCCCCATGTTCCATTTCATGCCTGCCAGCAGCTGGTTCCCACACCAGTGGATGGCTCCCTGGTGCCAGGGCCTGGGGCGCTGCGGCTGAGGGGCCCCAGGGCTCTGCAGTGGGGTTAGTAGCCGGCCCAGCTCACACCGGCTGCCCACAGCCCAGGCCCGGCTCCAACACGCCTCCCTGTCTCTTTCCTTGCAGCCATTGTACAACCAGCCCTCCGACACCAGGCAGTATCATGAGAACATCAAAATGTGAGTACCTGTGGGCAGCCGTGCAGATGCACAGCGGGGTGGGGGCCTAGGGTGGGATGTGGGTTCTCAGTTCCCAGCGGGCTCCCAGCCAGGGCCAGGTGCTGGAGGAGGGGATGGAAGGGGGCAATCTGGGCAAGAGTTCCGGGCCTAGGATGGAGAGGCCTGCGAGGCCAGGGGAGGGGCAATCTGGGCCCCGTGAAGCTTTGGGAACAGACCTGGGCTTGGGGAGGGTGGGCAAGCTGCACGCACAGCTCTGGAGAGGTAGACGATGAGGGCTGTTAGAGCAGTAGCAAGTTGCCGGGCCGGGGAGAGTGGGCTCAGGGTGGCGGGAGCGGCCATGGAGCAAGCAGGGGCCCATGGTTTGGCCTCTGATGTAAGCATATTCGGGACTGCCCTGTGGTCTGCACAGGGTGTCCATCTGTGGCACAGCCCAGCGTGGAGCAGCTGGGAGCACTAATCCAGACCCAGAGGCTTTGGAGTGGCCAATATGACGTATCCCAGTGACGGGGCCTTTTCCCAGATGGATGCTAGAAGCGAAAAAATATCAGTGAAGTGCCCCCCACAGTTGGTGTGGGCCGAGCTGACAGAGCAGGGACAGCCGGACTGTGCTGGGGACCAGTGACTTTATGTGTTTAAGCTGGGAGCCAGGTATTGGAGGTGTGGCTGCCGGAAGGGGGCTGGCTTTTTTCTTGGGATCCATTAGTGGGAGCATAGCCTCCTTGGCTGAGGAGGGGATATTACCTCATGTTGTTAACCAGGAGCCCAAAAGGTAAAAGGGGCCTTGCCCCTTGAGGAACATGTGGCTGCGAGTACTCCGGGACTGTTAGCTTAGAGGCAGACCCTTTGGGATCACAATCATTGAACTGTTCAAGGTTCCTTTTTTTTTTTTTTTTTTTTTCGGTTCGGGGGCTCCCTCTTTTTGATTTCTGTTTCTCTAAGCCTAATGCCCGAGGCTATGTACC